GCTCCAGCTCAGAGCTAGAAGAACCGACGGCAGAACCGGCGTCGCCTGCCTGTCCTCCCTCGGAGCCCGCAACCCCCGCCACGCCTGTGAAGTCTCCCACGCCAGCGAAGTCTCCGGACGTGAAGAGCGACAAATCCCCTGAGAAATCGCCGGAGAAGACGGAACCAGTTGAAGTGTCGCCGCAGCCTAGGTTCCCTGAGGAGTTTGCGCCCACGCCAGAGCCGACTCCGCAACCGGAGCGACCTCCGACGCCGCCGGTGCCCTCCACGCCCCCGCCTGAAACCCTCCCTCCGCTCCAGACTTTACAACCGACGCAATTCAAGGTATGTTCGCGAAACGATTTGAGAGCGAGAGACTTTTTATTTGCTTTCTTTTCTATTTACATTCAAATTAAAATTACTAGGTTCTATAGAAAATTTAAGAGTATGTTCTTTTTAGGTGAAACCTCGGTCAGCTTTAATGCCATCTGAGGAGCGTAAATCAACGGAGTCCCCGGCGGAGGAGTCTCCGGGCAAGCGGAGAGCACGGCGCTCCCCCACGCCGGGCGTGCGATCGCCCGCCTACTCCGACATCTCGGACGACGCCGCGCCGCCGGAGGGCGCGCCTGACGCCGAGCCCAGCCATCGCCCCTTCCCCGTCTACCATCAGGTACACTCTCTCGCACTTATATCCTCCTAGTACCACACAATGCTTAATTACTATTACAACCGAACATTTACAGTGGGTTTTCACTGTTAAAACACTCGTACCAAAACATGTTTATTTATTTCTTTAAAAAAAAACAGAGATAACAATTTTTGTATAGGAGTTTTCAGTAGTGAAAAGTAACTCAATCTTCCAAATATACTCTTTACGATTACTAGAAATAAACGTAGAATTTACAAAACTCTCATTTTATACAGCAATTACTCTTCTGAATAAATAAAGAAATAAATCCTAAGTAATACGAGCAATTTAAAGTTAAACCATTAAAAGTTTATTTCGCAATAGATAACTTCGGTGCGGTCGGACCGTAATAGCACTTAAAATCAACATCATTACTATCTGGTGGTAGCAAGAGCCAGTTAATTATCAAGTTGGCTCGCCATTAAGCTAAATGGAACGATAAAGTTGAATAATATTTTACAATTGACAGTACTACGGGCAGCCACAGTATCTGCAGCCCACGCACCCCCCCGCCGCGCCTCCGCCACAACAAGATAAGAGCAAGGAGGACCTCAGTAAAGGCGACCCTAAAGCTGATCTCAAGGTAATCTTACTAATACTATTACTTTATTAGACCACGTATTGATAGCATTGGATGCTATTTCAAATTATTTGTCGCTCGATTACGTTGATAACAGATTTAAGTAAGACAAATAGGCTAATTCAATTTCTTATCGATGAAATATAGAAATTGACCATTTTACGTTTGTCTACACTTAACTTCATTGCGAAGAGATATTATTTCAATCGTAAAACACTAAATCACGTTCAACATATATCACTTTATAGTGAAAAATACTTTTATTTATTTATAGAGAAGATTTTATCAATCACTGAGTGTCGAAATTCGTACACAAAGTCATCACTTGTCGACTAAACCCATAAAAAATCTTAATTACAGGACAACAAACCAGAGAGCGGACCACAAAAAGTTCTACCGCAGCATTTCTATCCATACAACTACGTTCAAAATTTTCCCTACAACGTGGAATCTGGTGCACCGCCGGGAACACCGCTAGAAGACAAGGGCAAGTCCCACGGTGACGGCGACCGGTCCAAGACGACACCCAGCCCATTGGACAAGAGCAAACAGCCCAGGCCGCCCGACGGCAAAGAGAATCCGGCGCGCCCCAACGAGAACCATCAGATACTCAAAGAGAGCATAGAGATGAAGGCCCAGATGGGCTCCTACGCATTCCAACGACCGCCACATACCAGGGAAGAAGAATTGAGAAGGTAGGTGCTATTTTATGACTATCGCCTCGTTAAATCGTTTCTAAACAAATTAAGAGTATAACGACAGAACACAAGGCACTATTAGCATTTTCTGTCTATTTTTAACTAACAAATAGTGATCATAACTTTAATATATTTCCAGGTACTACATGAGCTTAGAGCAAAGACGCAAAGAAGGCGGTGATGTGAAGCCTGGAGGTCCCCCGGGCATGCCGGGCGCTGCGGGCGGGCCGGGGGGCGGGGGCAACACCGGCCCGCCGCGCACCCCGCAGCCCGCTCACAAGCCCCCGCCCAAAGACAAGGAAGACAAGCCCAAGGAGGAGGTCAAGGTGAGCTATGCTTCCCTATTACCGCAAGTAGTCCATTTATATTAAAAGTATAGTAATTACCTCCCAGTCTTGTTACTCTAGCTGGACAAAGGATTTTATTAAATATTTTATTCTTAATTACAGATTAAACAAGAAGGACAGAAACCGACAACAGAAACCCAAGGGCCACCTCCTCCGCCGACGTCACAGTACTACCTCCCGCCTTACATGCAGCCTCCGCACTATGGAGCGTTGCCGTTCGACCCCGTGTACCGAGCCCCCTTGAGTCCCATGCTGGTGAGCGGGTACGGCCCCGGGTGGTCGGTACCAAGGTATCATGCCCCCGAGGACTTGTCCCGTCCCGGGGCGCCGGGGAAGCTAGAACTATTGCCTCCGGGGCAGTACTACGGGGGACACGGAGGGCACGGGGCACACGGGGCGCATAAGATCCACGAGCTGCAGGAGCATGCTAAGTCACCAGTGGGCAAGGCGCCGCGTGCTGAGGCGCCCAAAGAGGGCGCCCGTTCGCCGCCGCCGCAGCGCCACGTGCATACACACCACCACACACACGTCGGTCTCGGCTACCCGCTCTATCCCCCGCCTTATCCAGGTTTGTAGACCAACATTTATATTGAAACTAGCTTATACTGGCCACTTGGTTTGTGTACAATTACTTTGAATATACAACTTTACACGGCGCTTTTAATGTACAAAAGATTAACTAATGTTGTACCAATTCTTTAATTGTTAAGTTACGGAGATTTTTCGATTGTTCCTTAATATAAAAACATATTTCTAAATATTTTTGTCCGTATTAAAATAACAAAGGCAAACATTTTACAAGAATATTTAAATTTCTAATAAATTTATTACAATTTATTTATTATATGCTAGGATTTTATTACCTTCGTGATAAAGTGCCATTAATTTTATATGTAAGTACGACAGACGAAGGACATAACCTATTTAAAAACATCGAGCTCGGTACATAATTGCAAAGTTTTTATTGCGTTACACAGGACGATGGACTCGTAAATTATTTAGTAATCATCAGTTGCATGACTTCTATTATTGTAATTGTATTTAATTTAAGAGTTACCCTCTTTATCTATAACTCACATTTCTATGATGTCGTAGTCTTAGGTGGTTAAATTTGAATTGAATTGTTTCTATGAACTTTTCGAAGCCTTTAATATTTATGAGGTTGTGTTACAAATTGACTAGGATCATATCACTGGTGTTATAAAGTCGGATACACACTAGTCTATATTTGTTTTTTTTGTGTAAAAACTATAGTATAAATAATTCGATAAGGTGTGTAATATGCTTGGTTGCAGGGGCGCGATAGCATTCGGCAGCTAAGCGGCCGAGCCCCGCGCAGCCCGTCTAGCTAATGTACAGAGAGATGCATTTATAATGGCAGAGATATGAGAGAGGAGAGAGGCATTAATGGAGGATTGTGTGTTTGCAGCGGCTGCGGTGTTAGCGAGCACGCAAGCGGTGGTCAACTCATTCCCAACGCCGCCTAAATGAGACAAATAACCCCGCAATAAGGACAAATCCACAAGAAGGGCGCGTGTTCCCCGGCCGAGCGCGCTCGCTGCCTCAACGGACGTGCCCAGATGAAACTAAACTCACCGATAGTGACAGTGCAGTGACGTGACAATGACCGACTACAGGTCGACTTTATCCAGTAGCCATAAATAAACTCTGTGATTTCGCGTAATTAAAACACGAGTGTAGAAAATGTGACGTGCGCTTTGAATGTTAGGTGTGTGAACTGATAGTTACCTGAAATATAGTGTTGTGTTCCGAGAACTCTCGAATGGATGTTGGTGGTTGGACATTGGTTTATGTTGTTGTGGACGCAGTTGGACGTTTTGCACTCGCTGTCCCCTCTCACTGGAACCTATTTTATATTAACTAGTGAAAGCACAAACTAGTTTTGTACATATTAGATTTATGTGTAAATTCCCCTACATTAGAATCCAATGCAGTTATTGTAATATACATCGAATTATATCCTCTTGTACCCTGTGTGCATCGTACTGATTGCAAGCTCGCTGTTCGATGTTTCAAATCATTTGCAGTGAGATTTTCTAAATGATAATAGCATTCCACGAGATAAAGCAAGCGTAACTAGTTTAAACATAATTTTAATTGTTTATAACTAAGATAGATTAAGTTTAAAGGCGTTAATGTGATCAATATGAGTCGTAGTGTGCACAAATCGTACTCTGTCTCGATTATAATGAGGAACGACTATATATATATACATAGAGCATCCTATAGAATTGTGGAGTGTTTGACTGTCGCTGTGCGTAATGTATTTCTGGCTTATAATGATTATTGTTAACGAAAATAATCTCATATTTCGATATTCTCGACTCCCGAGCCCACACTGAAGCAAGTTAGCCGGCAACAATTTAATGTTGATTCTTAGTACTTCCTCTTATCCCGTTTTTGTGTGGGTTTTTCATACAAGTCTTCCAGTCGAATTGTTCATACGACTGTCGCAATATTTTACGTCTACATTTTTTTAATCTATATTAATATTGAACAAACTGTTTTTTCTCTGTATTAATTCACAATGTAAAAAACACAAATGTGTATGGTATTGTAGAAAAATCTATTTTTAGTAGTGAAACACATCAATTTAGATCAACTCGATCGATATACTTTGTAGAGATATTTTCTATAATTTAATATTTTATTCAATGTACGAACGTACCTGTCCGATAAATAAAACCGATATTTATAGAAGCTGGGCCTAAATACCTAAGTTTGTATTAAAAAAAATGATTCATGTTGACAACTGGAAACCAGTGAAATTATTATTTTACAATTATTATTTACTTTAAAACTGCGACTGCCTAAAATATGTTTATAAATAAAATTGAAACAGTTAGAGCTTTTTCAGTACAAACTGTTATTTCCTAAGCTAAGTCGAAAAAAGTATAATTTGGTCAGAAAAAAAGATTAGACTTCTCCTTAGGGAGATCGGCCGTTTTAAATCTTATGTAAGCATTAAGTGTCAATGCTATAATCGATATCAAATTACAATGAGCTCTAATTTTTTTTTTAATTTCTTTGAGTAAATTATTTACCTATTTTGTAATACAATAAATCAATATTATTTGGATGCAGGCGGCTCTCTCTTTATACATTGTAAAGTTTTAATCAAATACATTTGTTACAATTACTTCCAAATACTACTTATTTTGTTGTTCAATAATTGAACTAAAATAGATTATGTAAAAAATTACCTTCAAAGAATGGTATGATTTTGTGTACCTTTTATGGAGCATATACAAAAACGTGTGTAACATTTGATTTGTTACTTTTTTTTATTAAAACTGTCTATCCCACTTTGATTTCATGTTAATTTCCCAAGTTTTATTATTATTAATTACTTTTGATAATTAAAAATTATAATTTAAAATCAAAGAGTTATAAGGGACATGTCCTCGGGGGCATGATACCTTGGTACCGACCACCCGGGGCCGTACCCGCTCACCAGCATGTCGATTTTTACTATGATTTGAGGTAGTCGAAATATTTTTTTTTTTTCATATTAAATACAAAGAAAATAAGCAGGAAGAATAATTTAAAAATTAATTTGTTTAATTTAACATTTTATATGATAGAAAACGTTTTTGTGTTTGCTCCGTGAAAATGTCACTTTATTATTATACTAATGTATGAATGTTGTGGGAGCGTGTATGACTAACATGATCTCACGCAGCGCTCGTCTATCTTCGATGGAATATAAACATAGACTGATCGTTTCCTTTTTACTCATTGGATGTAAAACTTGACGCGAAGCTTCGCGCCTCTTCGTCTTGTGTCTATTGTGTATATCATATTTGTGTATTGTTTTGATGTAACTAAAATCAGTTTGATTTTTTCTTAGAAGAGAAATTGGAGGAAGTTAAAAAACGAAATAAAAAATAAATTATTTCTTAGCATCGTGTTTTATTTTAGTAAAATCCTTACTTAATACGTAATTTTGGACGCTTAAAATTATATATTAGGCGCTAAAATTAGTAATTTTAGTAAAATTGACTAGGTATAATGTTATAATCAATGTTTTATGGTAACTTAAAATTATCGTAGACAGTTCATAAATAAAGTTAAAGCTTAAAACTAAAGTCAAAAGACGAATACAAAAAAAAATACAATATTGGTAAAATTTAGTGCAAAGTTTAAAAATTAAAGGACAATCTTTGGCTGTATATACAGACATGCTTCCAAATTAAACGGAAACCAGAAAATAGAAAACAGGTACAGAATTAGTTTGAAATAAAACACATTATAATTACGGCAAGTTTACGTAAAATACCTAAAAAAAATAATACTGTATCTTTATTATACTAAAACACAAAATATATATTTATTAAAAATAAATAAAGTCAGTCTATGTCGTCCGGTCTCAACTGCCTCTCTCCTTCAGTGAGGAATATTTGCATAGCTTTATACAAGAGGTAGAGGCCTAACATACGTCGTTCTTTAAGCGGCCAAGATGCAGTAACTCCGTAGTAATTCCCACTTTTGATATTCTTCAAGTTCTGCAACCCTAGTACATCAATCATAGCAGCTTCGTATGTGAACGCCTCAGCGGGGATGACATTTTGAAAGATATGAAGACATATCACACCCACTTTGTCCGACCAAATGTCAAGGATCTGCTGAACCTTTTTGTCATTGGATGTTTTAAAATCTCTCTTCCAGAGTGTTAGAGCTTGATATAAATGAGAGTATGGTCTTGAACGTTTACCTGGAATTTTAAAAATATAGTAAACCTACAATTTGCTTTAACTTTTCCATCAAACTGTACATCAAACTTTTGATATCCTGGTCGCTTCGTTCATATTGGTTATTTATAATTTTTTTTAAAGTAAAGATTTAATTTTTTTTGTTTTCCGAGACCAACAATCTTTGTATAAAACATATTACCTCTGTTTTGATGACAATATGTTATACAAGGATTTTGGTCTCAGAAACCAACTATTACTGAAAAACACTAACCTTTTCCTACATAAAATATAGAATTGATGAAAGTTCCCCAGAGTTCGTGAGGATTTTGTTTGTTAGCTTTAACTGGTAAATTGTCAGTCAGTCTTGGGTCCAATAAAAGGTAGGTAAATGAGGTTTTAGTTGTGCCCTCACGCCATTTTTTATTTGGGTTAGCGAAATCAGCTCGAGCCTTTTTCTCCAACTCAATGTATGGATTCAAATCATTCAACCAATCCGATGATCGAATTGATTTAGTTAATTCTACACTGTAAGCTGAAAACGTTAAATAATTTATTTATTAATAAGCTTATTAAAATTCGCTAATTTTATATAATAAAATGGTTTGTTTTGAAACATTTATAGTATGTAAAAATGTCTGAAAAATTTGTATCTATTAAAAATAGATACAAATTTTTCTTTTTAATTAAAAATTAAAATTTTATAAATGTATTATAATATTGGTAGGTGTTTAACCTCTTTTTAAATTTATTTCTCCAAATTGTACCGTAAATTTTAATATTCTTAAAAGCATTCTAAAATAAATTATCTAAAATAAACAAGTACAAAATCTATAAATAAATAAAAATGACATTTGACACAACAAAACAACAAAAGGTTTTTTTTTTAAATAAATTAAAAAAAGTTTGAATATGACTTACATTTTCCCTCTTTGGTGACAATTGTTGGCGTTTTCTTTAGCGTTTGTAACTTTTTAAGGTACAACGTTTTAGTACTTTCATGTATAGGTCCAGGAGTGAAGCCTAACTTCATGAGCTCGGATCTGAGAGTGATGACGTCATAGTCCATTGTAGAAGGCAGAGAAGAGGCGACAGACAGGATAGTCTGGTCTGGAGTTGTCATATCTGCTTCATCAACTGGCAAACTGAAATTACATCTTACTAATATTATAAATGCGAATGTTTAGATGGATGGATGTTTGCTTGAAAGTATCTACAGAACGGCTGAACGCATCTCAATAAAATTTGGCATGATTGTAGAACATAGTGGGGAAAAACACATAGGCTACTAATTTAGTTTTTTTTAAATTCCATGCGGACATAGTCGCGGGGGACAGCTAGTTTGTCATAAATGAGACATTCACGCCTAAAACTTAATAAGTGTAGGCAGAGAATAAATATTTAGATCAGACAGAATTAACATCTATTTCACGAATAGGTGAAATACCACGGTCATACAAAAGACAGGCATAAAGGGGAATTCCGCGTTTCGTTTGATAAATTCTCTTTGCATCCTTTTCGGAGGGCTAGGGAAGTATATTAGATGAAGGAGGAGACACGTAGGAAGGAGAAATATTCTCTCCCTATGCGCTTCCTCCTCCGTCGATTAAAGGTAAGCAACGCATATGCAATAGCGGATGTCTATATGCAGTGGTCGCTTCGCTATTTCTGCGAATTCAAGTGACCGCTTGCTCGTTTGCCAAGTTGTAATAAAAAAGGCACTTTTTACTGCCAGTTACACATGTACTGTTATTTCTTTCTTTTTGAAAGGAACAAAGGAAAGATTATTTGTAACTATTATCGATAAACTTTAGTCTCAAGCGTTTAATTATATTCAATCGATTAAAACATTTGCACGTTTATGTTTACTTCGTAACATTATGCAAATTGAATGACAACAGGATGTTTGGAAATTGCAAAAGTAAAGGAAATGATTGCAATCATGTCTTATGATTTACGTGAGAAACAAAACTAGATATAATGACTTACTTTCTCATTCATAAAGTTATCAACATTTGAGAATTTTAATTAACAAACATAAGTTAAGATTTTTTTATAAATAGAAAACTGAAAAATCCCTTATAGCTTACTATTAGCTGTCGCCCGCGACTCCGTCCGCGCGGAATTAAAAAAAAAACTATTGGTTGCCGCGTAATGTTATATAGCCTGAAGCCTTCTTCTATATATGGACTATCCAACAAAAAAATTTAAAATCGGACCAGTAGTGCCTGAGATTATCGCGTTTAAACAAACAAACTCTTCCGCTTTATAATATTAGTAACTATAAATGCGAATGTTTAGATGGATGTTTTTTTGAAGGTATCACGAAAACGGCTGCATGGATCACGATGAAATTTGGCATACAGACAAACTGGAAGAACACATAGGCTACTAATTAAATATTTTTTAAATTCAACGCGGACGGAGTCGCGGGCGACACCTAGTATCAATATAAATGAGGCTTTAGTACCAGAAAAACATAAAAATATACTCACACAACCGGTGACAGGAGTAACCGTTTTTCAATCAAGACAACGCCTTCCTCTTTGTCTTCATATTTATATTCTTCGTGTACATTAGCTATGACAATGTTGCCGCCTGAATAATTACTGCTGACACCACTGCTTGCTGATGATCTCCTGGTATTACAAGCTTTGCTCTCCCCTACATCACTACTGCAACTTGATAACCATTCGTTTGTCCTATTCTGTACAACCGCCATAGCTTTATCCAAAGACGCATCATCTGTTAATAAACTATTCGAAGAATTCAGTGTTAAATTCTGCATTCTAGGACAAAGATCATTCCTTTTTGTTTTCTTTAAACTAGTCTTTGTGTTATAATTCTTATGTGTAATACACTTTGGTGATCCAGGAAGTGAGAAATTCTCGTAAACGCTATATCTTTGTTTTGTTTGCATACACGTTTTATCAATTGTCTGGTCTAAACGTTGAATACCGCTTATTTCTACGTTATCGTTCGTTAAACATGTTTTGAAACTGTTAATTGTATCGTTCACGTTATTTTTATGTTCTTTACTTATATCTATCGTAAAATTTGTCGTGTTCCAAGGTTCAGATTCGTTTTCTAATAAATAAGTTTCGTTAAATATAGTAGGATATAATTTGTTCATAACGAGACTTGTTTTCTCACACCAATCTCGTACTAAGTCAGATTTTCTTATCGTATTATTAGTTTGGTTATCATCCGTTGGTTTGTATTCTGCAACCATTTGGTCTGTTGTCACTAGTACCCTATCTGAAACGCGAAAAAAAAATTTGAACGACATTTAAAACTAAAGACAGTGTCAAAACCAAGGTATGATACATACGAATGCAAATTTTTCTATAGCACATAAGTTAAAAACCATAGCAGATTGTGTTTGCACCTGCTTAGCCTTGCAAGCTTGCGCAACAGGTTTTAAACTGGCAGATGTTAACATTTTTTATGTTACTCAGAACATAATGAATGTAATATACATGTCACTGAACGACTGCGAACTTTGTCAGTTTCTGATCTTACTAGAATTTGTCAAATTGTAAACTGAAACACTGGAAAAACGTTTTCTAAGATTACTGACGAAGTATCCCAATGATAGAATTATTAACAGATTTTTTAAATACTAATATGTGTTTTCTTACGTAATTAAATTATAACATATTTTATTTATATTAACATTTAGTCAGATTATAAACTGACTAAGCTCACAGTAACTCATCATATACACATAGAAGACCACTTTTAAAACGTTAAACATATCTTTGAAGCACATATTTAAAAGGAAAGTACTTAAAGCCTACTTATAATAACAATTGAAGTAGTGACTCATGGATTCCAATCTTTATATTGAATTAACCTTTTTAGGTCAATTATGATGCACCTGCCATGACCGGGTGCTCAATAAACGTACACTGCACGCCACTATTAACGGCCCACTTAAGATACGACAGATTGTTATTGATCTTAATCACTCTAATTGGTATCATTTTTGATAAGATTATGTTTGAAATTCAGATAATTGATATGGAATAAATCCACACTACCGAGCGAGATTATTATGTAATAAAAATATGTTAAAAGAAGGTTATTTAAGAAGGAATACGAGTAATTATTTTTAAAACAATTATTTCCAGTTTCTAAGACCAAAATCTTCATATATGACAGATAATGACAGAGGTGAGGATAAGTTTTGTACTTGTATTTTGTAGAAT